AGTTGAGTCTTGACTGGTCCGATGGAAGGTAAGCTTGCATTCTTCGACTCAAGGTTCGTTTAAGGCATGAGACGAACATGTTTGACGTGTTGTCGAAGAGTACGTGCTTTGGCTCGAGTTAACGGTGGTTCGGGCCGAGAATAGAAGTGTGCATGCTTCGGATTTTGTACAGCCATTCGTGACTCATCTCGGATGATGATCTCCTTGTGATCGGGTGGGACGTCATTCTCCGGTTGAGCTCCTAGCTTCATGCGATCCGGTTGAGCTCCAAGTTTCGTAGGTTCCAAGCTTTCGTCCATGCTCCCGCTCCAAGCTATCATTAGCTCCATGCGTTCTTTTATCTCCAAGATATAGTTTGATGCATCGCTCGGGATTCCGAGGTCCTCATCACTTCTAGACTTTCTGCTTGGTAGAGTTGGTGTATATTCCTTGAATTACTACTCCATGGCCCCTTAATGACCTCAAGATTAATTCCTTGATTCTGATCCTTGAGTTAGGCGTTCAAGTTAATTTACGAAAATTATTATTTTCCAGTTAAGATATTATGGCGGCATTTCCAATACGCCATATTATCTTCACTAAGCTTTCGATGACTGCAGCTCACATCACTTGTACGGTTTTCGTAAAACAATTTTTTTTCCATTGGACGTGGCTTTTGAAAAACATTTTCAGTGTAAAACCATTAAGGTAATGAGTCGTTCTTTCCCGTGGAAGGAACGTTGCTCTAATACCAAAAGTTGTGACACCCGTATCCCGCTTCCCGTAAACAGGATATGCCACATGGATGAAACCAATAAAATTTAATAAAACCAAAAGTACGGGAAATTAAAACCTTTATTTCATAAATGCGCAACGGAATAGTTTAATACAACCTTTAATTATCACACGCCCGATCTTAAAATACAATGCAAAGGAAAACATCGTTTTCAAGTTTAACACAAATCAAGTCTGTACGTGATGCTGCCTCCTCTTCAGTCGTTATCCAATTGTTACTCATACTCCTCGTTATCTGAAAAAAGTTAGTCAACGAGGACTAAGCACAACTGCTTAGTGAATGACCCGGGTTGGATCCGGTAAACTCGTTCCCAACGAGAATGGTATTAAAACGATAAAGCACAAAATATATTATTCAATATTAAGCATATATTCATATCATTTAGAGCATCATCATATCCATTCCCGTATGGCTTCACACCATCGGGCTAGCCGTAAACCCTGGTCACTTCTCATGACCAGGAGCGCCTCTCACGCCCGTCACATCTCATGACGTTGGCCGTTGCATCTCACGACAATCAAGTATGTATGGCTTCGCATCATAGAGTTAACCGTAAACCCTAGTCACATCGCATGACTAGGAGCGCCTCTCATGTCCATCACATCTCATGACGTTTGTCGTTGAATCGCGCAACAATCAAGTCCCGTATGGATTCGCACCATAGGGTTAGCCGTAAACCCTAGTCACACTGCATGACTAGGAGCGCATCTCACGCCCGTCACATCTCATGACATTGGCCGTCGCATCTCACGACCACAATGCGCCTCACACGCACGTCACTTCTCGTGACGACCGATGTCACTTCTCATGACCCATCGGAAAATAAACCCAATCATCATACAACGACTTACTCGGTAACTCACTCATTTCTTGTCCAAATGGAGCGCCGTTTGTTTCTAAATGTTCATTGAAATGTCCTCTTTTTTATTCTAATCATCAATTTCTTCAATGATCACACATATTTTCTGGGTAATGACCCAAAAATGTCGGACTTAGAACGAGTTTTGCGTTTTTCTCTGAAATTTACAATTTTGCTTTGATTTTCAAACTTTCATAACTTACTCATTTCTTAACCAAATCGAGTGCCGTTTGTTTCTAGGTGTTCATTGCCCAGGTTTTATCGAATCAACACCATAACAATGATGAAAATGAGCTCACACAGAGGTAACTCGAACCACTCACCTTGCTTAGATTCGGATCTGAGTTTTGGCCGGATTTGATTGCGTTTTCCGGCGACTCCGATGATGGCGACTCTCCTAGACCTTCTGAGGTCAGTCCTCTTTACTCCCACGAGCTCCTTTCCTCTTCCTCTCTCTCTCTTTCTTCTCTTTCTCCTTTGTTCTTTCTCTACAGAGAAAATGGCTGAGATGCCATCTTTGCAGGGGTTTTTCTTCGACAAGGATGAGTCAAATTGGCTCTAGCTCATTCCCACTGTAAAGCCTGCATTGTGGATGGTCCAGGGGTGGTCACGACGCATCATTTGGTGCCCTACGCGCAGAGAAAAGCTCAGGGGAAGTCTGCAAGTCGAGCTGGATCGCACCATGTTTTTGTCGGCCTGGGCCGGTCGGTCTGCATCTTGGACCGGTCGGTCCAGGCACCCTATTTCCCGTTTTCCACCGTTTCTCGCCCCTTTCGCACGTGGTGATTCCCGAGCCTTTTTCCGACATCTTATGGTCCATTTTTAAGGTTTTTAAGGCCCGTCGATCGAATTTTTCTCTTTCCGGAACTAATTAAAAATTCGAATCTGGATTCGGGGTATTACAGTAATGAGGTCCGTATATAATTGATGTAAAAGGTCGATCATTGGACGCTAAATTACTCTAATGTGGTGCAATGAAAATTGCGCCATGATGTGCTCAATCTACGACGGAAGATAACAATGTCTCCAACCATATCCTTCAAACTGATGGATTTAGGGAGTTCCAGGAGGAAATGAGGAACGAGTTCTGTGTTCCAGAATGCCATGTGGCAGCAGCTGTGGGGCGCACATTTTACCCCCACCACCGGTAGGAGGTCCGTAGCCCCCACCATGTGCCGCATCCTGTACATGGGATAGAGGTGTCACAAAAAATATATACGTCGTCTCGTAGAATCTCTTTATGGTCTGAAACAAACATCCAAATAATGGTATACTAAATTCAAATGGATTTAAGATAAACGAATGTGATAAATATGTGTGTAACAAAATTTATCATTGTATATTTATATGTAAATGACATGTCAATAGTGGGAAGTAATGATAAAATAAAAAAAAAGTAAAACGAACAAAAGAAGTAATGAAATTCTTTGAAAAAGAATTAAAATTTAATGAATAATATAATATAAAACATATTAATGGTATTTATGAAAATAAATATAGTTTACAAATATTGATAATTGTTTAGAAAAATCGAATATATATACCTGAACTTTTACAAAAATACCAAATAAATACTTGAAGTATAAAATTCTCAAATAAATAACTGAACTTTTTAAAACTTCCATATAAATACCAAACTTTTAAAAATTTGTCAAATAAAACAATATTCGCTTACGGCTAAGTCATCAGTTATCGATAGATCTCGTTAGAAGTTTAACGTCATTAATGGATTTTGGTTTCATTTGGTAAATTTTTAAAAGTTTGGATATTTATATGAAAATTTTGAAAAATTCAAATATTTATTTAGAAATTTTATAATTCAAATATTTATTTAATATTTTTATAAAAGTTCATGTATCTATGTCCGATTTTCCATAATTTGTTTGGATAGTTTGCAAAATAGACATCACTTTTTGAACTTTGCAAAGTACCACTTTTTCTTTAAACATTGCAAGTGCAGTGGCTCTCTTGGGTTGAATAAAAGAACATAAAATCTTTGGAGGTCTCAACATGTGCTTGGTGTTTTCTTCAGTTTGACCAATCTCTCTCTCATTGAGGATTGAGTCAAAGTCAACTCGAAATCAAAAGTCAACAACCAAAAAGGCCACTTACGCATCCGTTTGATTTGGTCTAAATAATATAAGCTGACCAAAAGGATTTTCCAATGCGAATAAATACGACCAACTTTCCATCTAAATCAATATTAATACCACCATTTTGGTTTCTTTTTTTTAAAGAAAAACCCTTACAAAACACAACCGAAATTATTTCAGTTTGGATTCTAGAGTAATGAAAATTTTTATTGAATAAAAAATGTTCGTCTTGGTTCACATTTTTTATTTTTTGAATCTAATAGGGATTTGATCAATTTTATTTAAAAAATCTGTTTAAATCAGTTTGGTTTAGAGTTTTCGAACTCTTCTAATTCAATTCACTCTACACTAACATAGAAGAAGAGAAAAACAAATTGAAGAAAAAGTCTCTTGCCGAAAAGAAAAGAAGGTCGTGGGCCGGAAAAACAAAAGGTTTAGAAGTGGTTTGGAAGACGTGTCCGTCACTCGGGGTGGAGGAAAGTAGGATCTAGGACAACGGCAACGTACATACACATGTGTGTGTGTGTATATATAATTTTGGTAATAGTGAATAGGATGAAAATTGTTTTTATGAATTGTTTTTATAAATTAAAATCAAGTTTGGTTGCAAGTGTTTAGGTGAATTATACACGAATACGTACATGTACTATACCGATGCAAATCATATATGGGGTTTTGAGTATTACACTTCTAATTTTGAGATTGGATATTCAAATCATCTTAGTCTATTCAAATGTGAACTTGAATTATGGATAATTTAGAATGGTTTACGTCTATATATAGTTTGCAGCCTATTAGATGAAAGTATAATTTATTTGATATGCATTCGAAGGATAATAACGGTGGATTCTCACGTCGTCAATAAAAAATTATCCGAATCCGATATTCAATTTTGGTATTTCAAATGTTTTTGTCAACCTCTTAATATATATGCATATGTGTTACACAAAGACGGATGTAGATAGGAGTATACCAAATAAAATGAATATTTAAATAAATCGTTTTACGAAATGTACAACATATATATTTATACTTTTGTAACTATATGTCCTTATTATTATTTCGTAGATATCGAAATTATTTTTCTAATAATATATAGTTTTCATGATTTTGTTATATATTCTAAAAGTTATCAAATTCAAAAGTTTTGATATGAAATTAAAAAAATAATCATATACGAATAACACCATCAACCAAAACTATCCTTGTCTACCGCCTTAATTATATATATATATATATATATATATATATATATCATATTTTATTGGATAATCATTCTCACCGACTAATGAATAATTATAATCAACAACCATTTTCGTAGTTGACTTTTGGATCTAATTTGAAACAGAAACTTTTTGTTCGTGAAAAATATTAATTATACATATACTTGTATTGGTGTATATCTAAAAAAAAAGACCCGCGAGTACGGCACACGGAGTCTCCTAAAAGATTGACCAATGACCTATCGACACGTCATACAACTCTCCTTCAGTTGGTGGAGACCGTCGGGTTTAACGGTGATACAACAAAAGAACGGGTTGGGTAATCGAGCAAAGGACTGCCACGTGGCGAACGGGGAGGCAACTCCGTTATCTGCCTTCCGTTACTGTCGTAGTAGATCACGCCGGAGAAATCCAACGGCTGACATTTGTCCCCCATCAAGATCGTCCTCTGCCAAACACCGTACTCCTCCGCTTCTTCCGCCACAAAAGCCTTCTCCCCCGTCGCTCCACCACCGTGCCCTGGCTTTTTCCGGCGAAGCATCGTCATCGCCTTGTTGCTCAGGCTCGTGAACAACTCCTTCGGCCTCCCTCTCAGCGGCGACCGCGGCGGAGTGTACCACTCGTACTTTCCTCCGCCGTCTCCGCCTCCGCCGAATCTGGGGCTTTTCAGGTAGACATCGAGGTGGGTTCGCCGGAGATTCCGAGTTTTGAGCTTTATCTTCTTAGCGTGCCTCGCGCAGAGCGCCATGAGCGACACGAGGAAGCTCATGCTCAGCCGCTTCTCCGCAGCCGAGCCACCGTGCTCCGGCGTAGCTCCGTTCATGGTTTCGCCAAAAAAATCTTGTCTTTTTGTTTTGGGTTGGAAACTGGAACTAACAACTCAAAATATTTGACTTTGTTAGGATTTGTTCGTTCTGGTGTCTGAGAAGGTTGTATGTATATGTGTGTATATATATATTCACACGCGTAGATGAGGGTTAAGGAAAGGAAGTTAGGTTACCGGCTGATCCGGTAGCCTTTGCGCTGACTATTTCTTTTCATTTTATTATGTTTCTCCATATAGAATAATTTGTATAAGTTCAAGTCATTATTCATAGTTAATAAGTCATTACCTAAGGAGCATGCAAACGGCATGCATAAACCATTTTTTTTTTTATAAACTCCAAACATATTAGAATATCTATTCTGTACGGCATGTAAGACATGAGCCTGATTTTTTCAACTATAGCATCAATTTATTATGACAACGAAAACCAAATGGAATATCACATTATTGTGTCGAATTGATATAACTTTAATGTGATCAAATTCAATATATGAAATAATTCAAAAATTGAAAAAACATTTTTTTAAAAATACATTATTTTTCATAAAAATCATTGACAGATAGAAAATGATTAATTGAATCCAATTTCCATAGAAAAATTGAATAGATACAAATCCAAAATAATCAAACCAAAATATACTTAAAATCCAAGATCTCCACGAATATCATATTATTCAAAATTTGAATTTTAAATTGTTGGTTTTTTATTCACATTCATCCAATAAAGATAGTTGGTTTTTGAAGATGTGTGATAACATTGATTTTTAACGATGTTTTTTATATAGTTTTAGTTGTATTTCACCGCACTTTTCGTGCGAACCTAGATATTAGATGGTATTTTAGTCACATATATTGTTTTATTTACTCTTTCATAGAATTTCAGATATACTTGCGTATTTAGACGAAAAGGAACTCACGGGCGAGATACGGATAAAAACACGAAGGATGCGCGAAAAGGAGCAAATATTGATGTTTACAACATCGATATCAATGTTTAGCCAACATCGATATCGAGATCTAGAATATATAGGAATATCAATGTTGCCCGAAAATCGACATTGATGTTCCGCCAACATCGATATCGATGAGTTCGGGGTTCGCCATTTTCACCATAATCGCACGCATTTGACCCCGAATGCTGTCACAAACCTCGAATCGACGATTCTACACGTATTTCGAGCATTGAAAAGCCATAGAATCGACACTTTGCGGAGTTTAGAGATCAATTTCATTTTCCTAAGTCTTCTTCTATGTTTCTCTTGATATGTTGTACGAATCCATGTTGAACTCTCGTAGGAAAATTTTCCTACGATGTGTGAGTAGTTTCATTGTCATAGCGTAGGGATTCTAGCCATGTTATGGATTTGTTGATGTCCTATATATGATTATCCATAGCATCATATTATATATCAGGACTCAGTAGTCACTTTGACATACCATCATTCTCTAGAGATAGCAAACGTAATTTTACATTAGAATTTTTTTTTTTTGCACTACTCTCAACTTTAGTCCTAAAAATTGCTTTAAACCATGTCCATTTTGCATATTCTCTTGTATTTTTTTTTTCCAAACATGTTTCTTCTCCAAATAGGAAAGAGATCAGTGGATCAAAGAATTGGGCATCAGAGATCGGATTACGCTCAGCAGCGGCCGCTTTCTTCTAGGAAACAAGTAAGTCCTTTTCACAAAACCCAAAATATTATTAGTAAGAACCCATTTGTTGGGGAACCCTATGGTGTTAACTTTATATTGATGGTTCTCTATAACTTTTATGAAAACTCATCAGAACTGGATACGGTATAACATAATTCACACGAACTTAATAAGATAATATATATCGCATATGAAATATACCTGAATCTGTTGGTTTAGTGCTCTATGATGTACTGTTTAGCGAACTTTATTCGGATACATTTGATGTATTGACACTTTCTATATTTTATGGATTAGTGTTTTATTCATTACGTATTTTGCATACTTAAATATGTTATAAAATCCATGTATTGTTATGAACAAGACTAAACTCCCTAGTCATGTATCTAGCTCTTTCGGTCCATCCGTTCCAGCCCCTTTTGTCTCGGATTTTCCATCATTTTCTCGTGCGTTTTGTCCTTCCCTGCGTGTGTGACCCTGTAGGCTCATTCGATATAGCAGTATAACCCGAAATCTCTATTTCGGATATACAAGTAATAGGCGGTCTCTAGCAAGACACTATGACTACCTATCTCGAATAGAGTTTGTTCGTAATCTTACGAATGCCAGTGATGATTCCTGTTGAGGATCCTTTTGCATCGCGATATCATATGTCGAACATAAGGCATGGACAAGCCACCTTATCTGATTCAACTGCTTTCTCGTTCACTGAGTTCGACTGTCTAAAATAGACGATGTTCGTATATAGTGCGGCCACACATTTCTACAGTCTCGCTCACACGAGGGGCCCATCGATATCTCTCTCGTTTACGAGAGGTACAAATCTCATCTTGACTATCTACAATCCAGAACATGATTCGTTTCGTACCTGATACACGCCTTTATAGTCCTCCTGTTACGCAGGACGTTTGACGTATTCAAAGCACGCAACTCCTCATGTTGGATTCCGTAGTACGCGCTAGCTCCTCAAACATGGTCTTGAGTTGATTGATCATATCAAACACGTTCTTCCCCTCAAACTGCCTCTGCAGATTCGGGGCCATGCTTCCCAACATGAGACAGGAGATCTCATTGTCGTTCAGGCGATACTTCAACCAAACATCTCTGACGGCTCTCGTGGCGTTGGCCGCAGGCTCTGGTGGTAGAGCCCCTTCTAGGACGTACGACTTCTTATCGTGCTTGAGAACAATTCTCAAGTTCCGATACCAGTCTAAGAAGTTCGTCCCGGTCAACTTATTCTTCTCAAGAATAGATCGCATCGTCAAACTCGGTACGTTATCGGTTGACGCCATGTCCTACAGAAAAAGACAAACAGAACGAACAAACAAAAATGCAGATTCTATCAATGGTCTACTACCAGCTAATCCATCATCAATCAACGACAACACATCAATGATCTACTACTAGCTAGTCCATCATCAATCAATGACAACATGATGCATATACAAGCTATATTCCCATAAAGAAAAATAACCCTACAATAAATTTCTATATGGGACTAAGATCCGTATTTCACATAAGAATGAGTTGTTACACTCAACCTTACGCTATTTAGATAGACATCTAATGTCAGTCACATCCAATGTGACTCTTAGATCTTTTATGAGACTATGATATCGAATATCATTGCATACTCGTCTCATCTGTACCATTAAGTCTCAAGTCAAAATTGACAACTTAACCTAAGGTAAACCATATTCAAGCTGTGGGAACCACGATTTCCCATCCTGCCTCACAAAGATAATCCGGCACGCTCAGCTTTGGCATGACTCGTGTTACGGACGATCGATGCCTTGACAGGCGCTCTAGTAATGGGAGGTACACACGCTCAGCATTACATAAATAAGGGATTTTCGAAACCACACTTAAATCAAACATCTACTTTCAAGCTATGAGAACCACCATTTCTCCATCTTGCCTCACCAAGATAATACGGTACACCCAGCTTTGGCATGGCCCATGACACGTACGATCGAGGCCTTGACAAGTGCTTTACTCATAGAGCTCCTAGATCTAACCGGTTTCTGTGCAATGGTTGTACACAATCCGAACAGACCATCCATTCGATTATGTAATCCCAATCCCGAAGCTCCCACTCAACCAAGCATATCTAATATCTCGATTAAGTTACATGCATTCATTTACTATGGACCATCCATAAGAATCAATCATGTCTATTTGAGTTACAGTTGGTCAGATTACGCAACGATTGCGTAATCGGACCTAGAAAACGAAAAATTTCGGAATCTGTACCTCGGACCGTCCGTTCTGGATGCAGAACGAACGTTCCAGGCTTGGCAGAACGGACTGTCTCGACTACAGAAGTCAGAACGGACGTTCCACGCCGAAACCAAGCATAACGGACGTTCTGCAGTGGACGGAACGGACGGTCCAGTTGAGACCTTCCGTTCCGAGCCACTCAGTCCGTCACCCTTGGACCATCCGGTCTGGCTTACCCAGAACAGACGGTCTAGGGTAGGTCTACGTGATCAGATCACGTTTTCCCATGTTCTCGGCCCCGATCAGACCCGAAACTGATCTGAATTCTTCTGTACACCCAAAATTCGAACTCCTACACTCTATACAACATGAAACATGCAATCTATACTAGATTCAATCATCAAACATGCATAGAAATCAAAGCAAACATGGATTCAAACAATTCAAATCCTAAAACATGCGTGATTGGGTTCTACGAAATCAAAACAGAGCAACCAGGCTCTGATACCACTGTTGTGATTCCTGGGATCTCTAGAGCGAATCTTATTCCTAAGAGATCGATTCTAGGGTTTGCGCAGCGGATATAAAACAAAAATTTGGATGAAACCCTAGAACCATAGAATCGTAGAAACGTTAGAACGCTTACCTCAATCGATCCGGGGCCTGTATCAATCGAAGATTTCGTCTGATCACGAAAGGGAGGAAGATTACCTCGCCCTCTACACGTATCCACACATCGGGATAGATTCCAACGGTCGGAACTTGTCTGTTCGGACCCGAATCAGCTATTCGGTATGATGCTTTGAGAAAACGAGATTTAGAACTCCTTGAACTCTTTGGATCTCCCCAAACGCTCTTGGAATTCTGTACCAGACCGCTCAGAAAGTCTCTTCATCCATTAGGGTTTTAATCTCCTTCTTATAAGGTGATTTAACCCTAATTCGGTCTAATTTTCGAAAACCCAAAAGTCGGAACGGACGGTCTAGGAATGCACGTGGACCGTCCGTTCCGGCAAGCCAGAATGGACGGTCCATGTACATCATTATTCCCACAATGATACATAACTAGGGAGTTTAGTATTGTTCATAACAATACATGGATTTCACAACATATCTAGTATGCACAACATGTAATGAATCAAACACTTTCATAAAACTATAGAAAGTATCAATACATCAAATGTATCCAAAGAATGCTCGTAAACAGTACATCATAGAGCACTAAACCAACACTAGCGTTATGACT